GAAGGCTCTTTATGTCATTTCTCAAGACATGTGCTTAATAATTGGGCTAGTATTGGACTTCTGAAAATTGAATCAGTTTTAAATAAAATTTTAAATAAAATTTAAAACTTAGTTACAAGGACTGTGTGTTTAAAAAAGTAAAGGCAGTTAGACACTTACTCCTTTATATTGATAAATAAGTAGCTTACCAAACATATGCCCAATTTGTTTAATATCTAAAAATGTAATTTTTCAGAGGGAGTCTTAAGTGTTAGTAATGGGACAGGTGTGACTCTCCGTTTGACTTCAATCATAGCTAAAATAATTGCCACATATAAATCTGCTACATTTCTGGGGTTTAGTCACAAGTCTACTTAATGACAAATATTTATTTCATCAAACAGAGGGGAGAATAGAACCTTTCACTAAATATTTAGAGAGAAAAAATTTAAATCCCAGTAGCGGGATATGGAGATTGTTTAAATCTCTTTAAGGCTTTGGATTAGAAATGTCTGACATCAGGTATTTTCACCTGGAGCAGGTGTCATCAGAGGGCATGGAACCTCAGGGACAGTGGGGAGTTCTTGTTACTACAGAATGGGGGCAGGGGGTTGTCTTTATTTACCAGGGATACAAGTGGGTAGAAAGAAGGAAGCATGACTAAATTTGAATTCTCCACAGTTTAATATCAGGAACTAATCTTTATAATGCCACTTTTTCCCTTCTAATATCTTAGAGGGGGGGAAATGGATTCTGAACATAAGAATAATTTATCTATCAACATTACTTTATTAGTAATTAAAATCATAGTTATTAATGGTATATTAATTATAATTGTAATATTATTTTATTTTGTGTATCTCCTTTCAGTAGAAGGTAAAAATGATTACTTAGTTATTACTTTACTGTAATTATCAAGAAACTTTCTAACAGGCTCTATACTTTACATACATCATTGCTTGCAGTCCTCCTACAAAGAAAGTAGTAGAAGAAAATTGAAGTTCACTGCCGTTACCTTTCTTGTCCAAAACCGGCAGCTAGTAGAACTAGAATTTGAACTCTAGTCTGCCTTCAAAATCCAACTAAGATCTTTTACAAATAAATCCTGTCTCTGTAGAGCAGCATGAAAAGGAGAGGGGTTTTGTAACATATCAAACCAACTGTCAAATCCCAAACTGTCTTGTTTTCAGGCTGTCTAATCTAAGACTTAATCTGCTTTCTTATTTAATTTATTTTAATGTATTCTTTGTCATAAAAACTCTCAAGGAATAAAAATTCAGTGTTATATAAAAGATAAATTAAGAAATTATTTACTGCATTAAAGGCTCTTTGTCTTGTTAAAAAGCATTTCTTTATCCCCACTGAAGTATAGCTTTCCACTAAAAATTCAATTAATTTATCTTCTTAGCATTGGCTAGTCTAGATACTGTCCATATTACTACAGAAATTAAATAAAAGACAAGATACAATTTTGAACTTTAATGAATTTAAATCCAGTGATAACAAGAAGAAACAAAAATAGTACCAAAAGAAGTAATAATATAAGAGGCATACTGAAAATATATGTTGCTCTGGAGTTTGTGAAAACAAACAAAAAATGAGGAAACTCTCACCAGAATGGGACCTGAAGGAGAGGTGATGCTCATAAGAGAGATGATAGGCAGAATGGAAGGAACTCTATCTCCTGTCCATGGACCCAGGTGCACCTGGCGGGTACTCTCTTGCTTGACATATGAGGTACTTCCCATAAAGTGTTAAAGCAGAGTCTGGGAAGGGAGTAGGAGTCTTTATTTCCTTGAAAACCAGGGCAACTTGTTTCTATTTAATTGAGAGTCATTGATGGCTTTTGACCTGGCAAGTTGCATGTTAGATAGGTTGCTCTGGAACGGTGAATAGAATGGATCAGATGCCATAGACAGGAGACTCTTGAAATATTAACAGTGGGGATGGGAAGAGGGAATATATAGGAAAGACAATTCTGGAATAAAACGTGTAAGACATAGAAATTGAGAGATGAGGAAAAGGGAGAGCCTGAGTGTCCAAATGGACATTTTTAGAGCTAAGAGCCAAGAAGAGAAACCTGTGGGCAGGTAGGCAAGAGGATCTCATGAGGTCAGTTTTCAGGGACATATGCATTGTTTCAAAAACGGAAGTTACATCACACTTCTGAGTGGATGTTAACTGTATTTTTCTTGGCTAGCAGAGAATGAATGAATGAATGTATGTTAACCGAAGAGTTATATTATGCAAAGTCTATTTCGAGACCTGTGTTTATATCTATGAAATAGAGTCAATGATACTTTAATAGGAAATGATAAGGATCAATGGACCTTCGTGATGATGTCAATATAGCTAATGGCTTCAGACCATATTAAATCCTGGTAATAAAAAGCTATGGTGTGATAAACATTATTGCATTTCTAAACATTGGGTGGCACTTTATCCTTTTCACCTCTATTGAATAAGATGGATAGAATATTATTTTTCCTTCAAAATAGCTTCTATGTTAATGACAAAAATACAAACATGCATATAAAAGGGAGTATTTTTCAATGGGCTCCTGGTTACTCCCCATAAAAATGGAATTATTTTGGAAAGGAAAGGTAAACTAATAGTAAGTAGGCCACCAGCATTGTGTCTACAGTTTATTATATGCTAGGATCTGTAATTTGTATATATTATTTTATTTTATTTATAAATCTCTACACATTTGGTTCTATAATAATCTTCATTTTACAGAAGAGACAATTTAGTATTAGAGAATTTAAGTAACTTGTCTTCAAATTCGAATGCTGGTAAGAATTTCTGGTTGCAGACAGTTGCAGTGGGAATGATAAAGGGCAAATGGAAGAATCCACCTTATGTTTAGGTATTAAAACCAAACAGCCACAGTAACTGAGCATGAGATTGAGCAGATTCAGGTCCGGGAATTATCTAGGATGGCTCTAAGCTTTCTGACTTGTAAATCAGGTATAGAGTTGTTCTTTTCCTTGACAGAGGGGGCATGAGGAGTATATGTGGGAGGTGAGATGTTGAATTGGGGCCTGGGGATGCTGTTTAACCAGAGTGTGAGATAGGCAAGGGGGTAGGTTCAATAGGCTGCTGGTCATGAGGTTTAAAGGCAGCAGTGGATAGAGATAAAGCTTCTGGAGTCATCAGTTACAGGTGAACCATAGAAGACATGGATGGGTGTATGGTATTGCCCAAAGAGTCTGTGTGGAGTAGAAGGTAGAAGGCCCACTATGCCTGACACACAGGGGAGCAGCAGCCTTCTGGGGAGGCCAGGGACAGGAGCCCACAGAAGAGACTAAGAGTAGCCACAAGGTGGGAATCCTCAGTGCACACTCGATTTCACACTACAGCTCAGTGACATCACTTCCTTGTGAAATGGCTATTACACTACCTCTCGTTTACCCTTAGTATATTAAGGGGCACATTTTGCATATTTCCATTGGGGAAGGAAAAAAAAAAAGAAAGAGAAGGTTGCATTGAAAATGGCAGTGTTGCCGAAACCGGTTTGGTTCAGTGGATAGAGCGTTGGCCTGCAGACTGAAAGGTCCCAGGTTCGATTCCAGTCAAGGGCATGTACCTGGGTTGCGGGCACATCCCCAGTGGGAGATGTGCAGGAGGCAGCTGATCGATGTTTCTCTCCCATCGATGTTTCTAACTATCTATCTCTCTCCCTTTCTCTCTGTAAAAAATCAATAAAATATATTTTAAAAAAAAAAGAAAGAAAAGAAAATGGCAGTGTATGATGCATGATTGACATGGATATTTGTATGCTTGTCCCTAAATGTGTAGATACGTTTTAATGAAAAGACTGGTAAAATCTTTAAAATGATAAACATTTACCTTTGACCTGATCTTGGGGGGCGTGTGGAGATAAGGGGAGAGAGTGCTTTTTATAGTTCTTTCTTATATTACTACTTTTATTCCAGGAGCCATTCATAATTAGGGATGGTAGAAACTTGATAGATTTATGCAAATGTATGCCTTATCAAAAGTGGCTCAAGTAATCTAAGTGGGAGAATTAATGTTAAATAAAAATATCTCGGTAAAAAGAAATTTCTATACATTTTATGCAACTAAACTTCCAAAAGAGGACACATATGACCAGGACAAAGTGACTCATGTCTTTTCAGACTTTTCATTATTAAAGAGATTTATCAGTACATTTGTTTCTTCATTGTTATAAGTATATACTGTCACAAGTATAAATAGTCTATTTATAATGTCAATATTCTTTGCAAGAATACAAACAAAAATTACATAATCATCTCTGAAGAATTTAGTTACAATAGATTAACCTGGAATAACCTGAAAGTTCCTGGTTTTCTCCCAATTTTAATGAAAGGTGAGATAAGAATATTTCAAAAGATAGTTAATAAACATAGATTCTAGTTTTAAATCTAGAGTAGAGTCTCTTCAATTATTTTTAGCCTCAGAAAAATGTTAGTTTTTCTATTTCAAACTAAAGAAGAATAAAGCATACATATTTGGACTACTGTGAAGCTAGGGACGATTCTTGAGTTTATATTTGACCTAATCTCCTAGGGATAAATTTGCAGTACTGGTATTTTTAGCACACCTTGTTTATTTTAATCTATGATTGGTAACTTGGTATATAACGTACTTCAAAACACCTTCAAAGAATCTTACCAAAAGCATTTTTTAAGTTGGGTCTTCTGGTTTTATATTTCTCCCTGGTTTATAGGGAGGGTGTTTTTTGGGGTCTTTACCAGATAAATGGGGTTATGGGTGTTTTTAAATTTATTTCTATAACACTTGATATCAAATAATTTTTGGAATTCTTTAATCACAATACCTTACTTTAGGAATATGTTAATTTTACTTAGATTTAAATTTGTCGCCATGGAAGGAGTTAGTTACCTTATTTCTAAAGCCAACACTTTGTTCTCTCACTCATTTATTAACCACAAATCAGTAATAACTTTTAGGGGGGGAGAGAATGATCTGGTTGCTGCCTGCATCTTAAAATCTGATTGTTTTATTCGTTGTAGGTTTTATTGGGATTTAATAATGCTTATAATGATGGTTGGCAATCTGGTCATCATACCCGTTGGAATCACATTCTTCACAGAACAAACAACAACACCGTGGATTATTTTCAACGTGGCCTCAGATACAGTTTTCCTCTTGGACCTGATCATGAATTTTAGGACTGGGACTGTCAATGAAGACAGCTCTGAAATTATCCTGGACCCTAAAGTGATCAAGATGAATTATTTAAAAAGCTGGTTTGTGGTGGACTTCATCTCATCAATCCCAGTGGATTATATCTTCCTCATTGTAGAAAAGGGAATGGATTCGGAAGTTTACAAGACGGCCAGGGCACTTCGCATCGTGAGGTTTACAAAAATTCTCAGTCTCTTGCGCTTATTACGACTTTCAAGATTAATTAGATACATACATCAGTGGGAAGAGGTAAGACATCTGTTTTACTTTTTAAAGTCACTATATGATCATATTGTTAATGACGGCTGTTTTAAAATGAACAACTGGTCTATATATGAGGTTTATGAAATTCAAGGAGAAAATTTTTATTTATTTATTTTTTGGTATGTAAGTGATATATGTGTATCTTCAAAAGATATGGTCAAATATTAGATTTGAATGAACTGAAAAGAAATTCGTGATTTTAAAACTATTGTTTTATATCAATTTAGTTTTTTCCTAATAATTGCACTTTAAGCAAAACAATTTCTATTCAAAACAATGCAACCCTTCCTTTCTCATGAATGGCTCTTTTTTTTTATCTGATATGAATACATCAAGGACAATATTTGACAAAGATGTGGAGGGTCTATTTGCTAATCTAGTTTTATCATTAGCTCTATGAGATAATCTGGTATATGGTTCCTCTAATATTGAAATTTCAAAGAATTTGTGTTTGAAGAAAACAGATTTTGGGGGTGTTTCCAAATTACATATGTAAAGAGTGATTTCAGCATTTTAATGTTGCTCTTTGTTATGCTTTGCATGTAATTATTTATGCTAGTTTCTCCTTATTAGTTCATTTCATAATACTGAAAGACAGCATACCCAGGAGGAAAATTAATACATAAAAAACTCAAATAACACAGTGGGTAAGTGCAGTCAATCTGGCCAGTATTTTGCTGACTAGGGGCAACTTTGTTCCCAGGCAGTCTGTGGACTGGAAAGGGCTCAGCAGTGGAGTTTCTGAGATCTGAGTGAATTGTTCCATCCTACACAAAGGAGTTCATGTCCCTACTTCCAGAGTCTGCGTATTAAACATCTTAACTTTCTTTTCCTTCTAAGTCTATCTTTGTAAATTATCACCTGAGTTTTACTGAAGGTTGAAAATGCTTTGAGAGTGTCTAAGTCTGCACTCAAGAAAACAATATACTTGTTATGGATTGTCACTGTACTCATAGCAGCAATTAATTTTAGCATTTTTAGGATGAATTGTGTTTTGGAATTTAGGTTTAAATGAGTCGGAAAATGGAACTTCTGTGAGCACCAGCTCTGCTTTCTTTGGGGCCACAGCCATGTTCTGTGTGTGCTTGTCAATGGCGTTTCAGTTCCTAGGATTTCAGGAAATGCCATGTGATCATGCACATTGCGTGAGACATTGCTGAAAAGGCTGAGAACGGATGGTTCCTAAAATATGGATATGGGTTATATTTAAAATCCAGTGAAGCACATTTGAGAGATTGAATTAATCTGTGTCTAGATAGTACATTCTATCTGAAATGCAATAAATGTTTGGTTCTCAAACTTTATTATACCAATTTGAAATTGATATCAGACCAAGATGATTATGGATAACAGCTAATGTTTATTGAGGAATTATTATATGTCAGGTAACATATTTGATTCTTTACTAGTAAATCTTCCCAGTGACTCCGGTAGCTTGCGCAGATTCATGGTAACAGGCGGGCCTGGGATCCTAACCTTGGCAGTTAAACTCCAGAAGCAATGCTCTTAACCCCCAAAACCTATAGCTTCTTGCTGTAACCTATGTGTACTCTTTTAATGTCAAATACCTTAATATCCAATGATTTTATGTATTGAATACAAATTGTAGATGACTAGCCCAACTGGTGTGGCTCAGTGGTTGAGCATTGACCTATGAACCAGGATGTCATGGTTCAATTCCTGGTCAGGGCACATGCCAGGGTAGCAGGCTGGATTGGTAGGGGGTGTGCAGGAAGCAGCCCATCAATGATTCTCTCTCATCATTGATGTTTCTATCTCTCTCTCTTCTTTCCTATCTGAAACCAATACAAATATATTTAAAACACACACACAAAATAATGTAGATGAATATTTACCTCTTAAAACATGGTTTCACAAAACAATATTAATGGCTAGCCTGTGTAATGAAGAGTCACTGAGACAAATAGTCAGTTAAAAATGCAGAGGACAGTGCGACTGCTTTTCAGCATCTTGTAGTTTTAACCCATTTACCCTAGAGAACAGCATCAGGAGGAACAGATGGTGGCCTATCGGATGAAATGGCAGGCCACATGGGCAGAGAGGACACTCCCTAAAAGGGATGTCCTCTGGCGCCTGGCAGCGGTCACAGGCACCTGGATGTGTGTACTGTGATGCGGTTTTATAGATGCCATGCTATGTATGACTCAGGCTCACGGCCACCGTGACTGAGAAATGCAATTTAATATGCACTTACAGGCATTTGGTAACCAAACACACCCCCACCAGAGCTGCGAGTTGGCAGGTTCTTTCATATAAATAAATGACCTTGATAATAAATGAACCGTAAGCTCGTTTAAGTGAAGAATGTTTCCTTGATTATATGATACCTTCCTATGATATCACACACATCATGGATATTTAATGTCTGTTAGTAATCCTGTTAAACAGGGAAGAGACAGTCATAATTGATCCAAAATGTAATATGAATTCATGACCTCGCCACCTACATGATTCAAACCAAAATCACAAAGGATCTTACATGGTTCCAGGCTGGCAAATCTCTACCTGACTTTGATAAATGCCACAAGGATGTGTTTACAAGTAGAAATACAACAAATAGTTTGGCAGCCGTTGCCCTGGGAGGGTTTAGAATAAGACTGCGCAGGAAGATGTGAGCTCACCCACATGTCTTTGAATTCTGGGTGTTTTAGTACCAAGCTGGCTGGTGCTAAATTCAGCAAATTTGGGGAAGTAATGTGTGAAGTCTGGAAACTGCTCTCGTTCTAACTGAATCATTTCCAAGGAACGCAGCTGCCTTCTATAGGGAACTGCTTTGGTCTTCAACGATACATGGTGTGTGTGTGTGTGTGTGTGTGTGTGTTTTCCGGTCTGAATTAGTTCATCTGAAAAACAACAAGAAGCGCCAAAGCCAGATAAATTAGAGAAATTGTGAATGAAATAGAGAAACGTAGTCCTTATGTTACTATCATGACTAAAGTTGAATGTTGTGGCTACTGTACAAGGAAAAAGCTGATTTGGCCAACAGATTTGTGAAACACGTGATGTTAAGAAGTCAGGAGGGACGTTTACATAAGACAATTATAAGATCAGTGGCTTTAAGATGCAAAAATAGAGCTCTCTCAGCGTGTTATTTTCAGTGTAAAGTTTCATGAAACTGCATGTATATCGTCAGGTGAGGTAAAAATCTGGAACAATTATTTCAATAAATTAGGCCAGAAAATGCCTCTTTCTCTCATCTCTAGAAAACTGAGGTGAATCTTTCTTGTAGTTTGGCTTTTTAAAATTCATTTCTTTCATTCAGTATTGTTTTTCTCATTCTATTTCAAGTAAAGTCAGTGACCTGTGGCAGAATGCTCTATTGTACCCTATCACAGGGGTGACCCATTCTCTGTGATCCTCCTGAAGGAAACATATGGTGAGGAAATCCTTGGAAATTAAATGGAATATTAACAAATGTTAGCTCTCAAAAGCCACTGAAGAGATAAAGGGAGATTAAGAGCTTAGTAAGTGGGAGATTATTCAGTTAGTGAAGGTGAAGGGTCCTAGGAACCTTGAATGCTGCCCGGCCCATTGGGTTGTATTTTGTTTTGTTTTTTATCGAAGTTGGATGATATTTGACATTATTAGGTATTGGGAATAGCAATTGAAAAGAAAAATACTATTCTGTAGAGGTTATCTATTTTTAGGATTTAATGCCATGGGCAATGAACAAAATAGTGTGGGACACGCATGATGCTTGTATCATAACTAAGCCTTTGGAACACATATCTATAACATTTGCTCTTTTATATATTATTCCTCATTTACTATTCCCTCAACCTTCCTTTTATAGATTTTTAGACCCATCACAATGAACTAAATCCATTCTGTGGCAAGAAGGAGGGCTTGTGGTTTCCATCTTGGTATACATCTATAGCAATTTCGGATGAGTAATGTGTCTAGGACATCACAATTCTCTTCAAGCAATCGATATTAGATTTTTATGTCAGCTGAGAGACAAATTGATAAACAGATGATGTTTAACAGCCGAGCGTTAATCAGAAAATTTATTCCACAGGGAGCTAATTCAGATTGCAGTTTCTGTCTTTGGTTAATTTTAACATTTTATTTGATTGATATTCGAAACGAACTCTTGCTGTGAATTGCCTATCTACAATTACACAACACATACTGTTAACTACTTTCATTTTTTAAGCATCCCAAGGCTTGCCATGAGCAAGCACGGTTGTTTCTCTAATGCTGTCCTCTGTGAGGGTGTAGAGAACTTCCCTGTTGCCTATCACATCAAATCTGTGTTTCTTTGCTGTGCCTTCAAGGCTCCTCAGCCAACCAGTCCCTGTCTCAACCATGTCACTTCCTATTTGCACCCAAGGACTCCTTTCTGATTTTTGTGTTGTTGTGTTTCTTTTGTTTACAGTGCTTCTTGCAGAGAATGGTTCTTTCTGTAATTTTGCATGTGCCACACCTCAGATTTAGAAAGCCTTTCTTTTTCCATTAAAAAGTAGACTTAAACTTATTTCCAGAAAACATTTTACATGGTCAGTCCCTCTACTGTGAGCAGTTCTACTGGTTCTGCTTGCATATGTTCTGCTGATTGCTTGGCTGCTGATGCTTGCTTAGATGCATGTTTCTTTTCTGTTGATGGACATAAACATCTATCGGGAAGAGTCAGTGTCAGCTTTTGCCATTGCATCTGCTTGTACACAGATACACAGTTCTAAACACAGTGGGTTATCAGAGCCTGCCTGTCCACCAACAGTCCTCCATGCACTAAATCCACTAAGTAATTGCAAGGGAATAGCCATTCTTCGCTCCCAAACATGGACTAAGTAGCTTCTGTTTGCAGATACTGCACATGAGAATACAAAGCATTCCGCAGCATGTATTGAAAAAGAAACAGACATAATCACAGATGGTGTGGTAAATGGTGGCATAAAGAAGGGAGTGATGCTGGCTGGTGTGGCTCAGTAGTTGAGCATCTATCCATGAACCAAGAAGTCATG